AATCTCCAACATTAGTTTCTGCTTCTGCTCCCACAGCGCTGAATGCTACCAGACAAAATCACAAATCTTGGTTGTCCCATACAATATCCCATGCCTCAGGTCTCAGCACTCACCAGCAATTCTTAGCTAACCTTCTCTCCATGGCCCTTAGTGGCCATTTTCTTATTCCTTTCCTCAAGCCCTTTATTTATGACCCATCTTTCTCACAAGTTGGCACTGCTTCCTACTTCATGGAGAAAAGACAGCCTTTACAATATGAACCACCTCATCTCAACGTTCTACTCACATACATTTCTTTGCACATTACCCTCTTCTGCCACTTTGGACTAAGACTCGCCTCTGCTTCTGCCCATTACCAATTCACTTACCTGTGTTCTGTGCTCTGCCGTTCAGGAACTCTGCTGCATCCTTTACCTCTCTCATTTGCCTTTAACTTTTCCTGCTCCAAGGTCTCCTTCCCAGAAAGCTTGTCTTCCCTCCATCCTAAATTTAAGAAAAAAAAACTCTCCTTCGATTTGATACCCAAGCTTGCTTCTGAGCATGGAACCAAAAGCAGTTCTGTATCTCTAAGATCTCAACAGGCCAGGCCTTAGAAGTGGGACCAGAATACCTCTCTAATGACTCTTCCTCACAAATCAGCTTTAGTATTTACTGCTTGTTTGCCTTTGTGACTTTTCCTTTTGCTGGGTATACATGACTGAAAACTCTGATTGACATATTCATACAGGTAAAACTGCAGGCCTATACAGGCAATTTTATTAGCTTGTTTTGGAATTATTTCAAACTTACAGAAAACCTACAAAAATAGACTTCTTGTATTTGTACCCTCAACTTTTTAACATTTTGCCAGTTTACTTCATAACTGTCCCCAACTACATTATGTAGTATTTTTTTCTGATCCATTTGAGAGTAGGCTACATACTCGATAATCATTATTTAGCTTCCCATGCAGGTTTTTCTAAAGGTATAAATCCCTGAACAGGTCTTTATAGTAGTGCCCTCCCCCCACCCTTATCTGCAGTTTTGCTTCTCGTGTTTCAGTTATCTGCAGTCAACTATGATTTGGAAGCCTTTTGAAGTATCTTGAGGTCAATCAATGGTAGCCAAATGCTGCATCACAATGCCCAAGTCATTCACCTCATTACACAGGCATTTTACCACCCCACATCACAAGGGTCAGTACAAAGCTATTTTGAGAGACCACATTCACGAAACTTTTACCACAGTGTATTGTTAGAATTGTCCAATTCTTATTATTGTTAATCTCTTATTGTGCCTAATTTATAAACTTTATCATAGTTACGTACATACAGAAAACACTACGTGCAGGGTTGAATACTATCTAGTTGCGGGCATTCACTGGGGCATCTTGGAATTTATCCACTGCAAGTATGAGGATACTAAGTTCTGGTCTCAGTGATCGCACATTATAGAAATTTAATCAGTTAATATTTCAGTTGTAGCCTTAATGAGCTTAATGTTAGAAACAGACCCATCGTCTACGGCCATACCACCCTGAACGTGCCCGATCTCGTCTGATCTCGGAAGCTAAGCAGGGTCGGGCCTGGTTAGTACTTGGATGGGAGAAACAGACCCATCCTCAGAATTCTGATGAAATCTGGTTTGTGAAGAGGAACTCTTCTCCTTTACTTCCCACCCCCTGCCCCTAAAGGTGGGAACACCAGGGCTGGCAACAACCCAAACCAGGTTATACATGGTTTCTGGTATCCTGAAGAACCTTCTGAAAAATTTTCTGAGTCCAGGGATGTGCTGACTGGCTCAGGGTGTCCATACTCACCGGCAGAGGACTGCAATTATTCCCCACGATGGAAGAACTCCCAGTAAGAATGGGCCATCACCTTACCCTGAATAAGCTATTGCCCCTTTGTACACATAGCCCATCATTATTACACATTAAATGGGTGGGGGAGGCCTTGGGATTGGCTCCCAAAGAACTTCCTGAGAATGGGAAGTGAAAGTAAGAAAAACTTTTCCCATCATGAACCTGAGGATTGATGAAGAAGTGCAAGTGCAAACGGCTGGCTGCTTTTCCTTTAAACAAAAAAGTCACAAAAGTCACAAAAAACACTGAAAACCCGAGGTAAGATAAAATACCTCCTGGACACTGAATTCAGACGAACAGGTTAAAAGAAAATAGTGTTAGGCTAAAAGTTGACAGACATGGAAGCCCTCTGAAAGCAGAAGCAGGTCTTAGCCAATTTTTAAAAGCCCTACCACCTGGTCATCCATCCAGTATGTGCTTTAAGCACTTCCTATGTGAAAGATAACAGAAGGTATTTACCAGTACACACGCATACACAGTTGCCGTAATCAATTACTACAGAAGAGTCCAGGGTTATTAAGAGAGCAAGTAATTGGGGGGAAATAATGGAAGAGGGCACACTTTACCAGAAGCCTCCTTTAGCTAGGATGGAATTCAGTTCCCAGCAGAAGAAAAATCCACATATGAAGGCTCTGGAGTAGCAGGTAGCAGCACCTCCATAGACCTGAAGCAGGTTAGGATGGCCAGAGCACAAGTGAGGTGAGAGAAAAGCTGTAACAGGAGCTAGAAACTGACTAGGCAAAGGTATGTAAACCATATTATGCTGTTTGTTTTTTTCCCATTTTGTTTATTTGACAGACAGAGATCACAAGTAGGTAGAGTGGCAGGCAGAGAGAGGGGGTGGGGGGAAGCAGGGTCCCCACCAAGCAGAGAGCCCAATGTGGGCTCTCTGAGCCGAAGGCAGAGGCTTTAACCCACTGAGCCACCCAGGTGCCCCTATGCTGGATTTTTGTTTGCTTTTATTAAGTACCCTAAGAATAACAGGAAGTTACTGAAGGATTTTAAATAGGGGAATGAAAAAAAAAAACAATTTAAAAATATATATATCTTTTGAATGCTACATCGAGAATGGCTGGAGGCAAATGGGTAAGTGTAGAGCAAAATGGAAAGGTGTGGATGCAGGCAGACCCATTATCAGAGCACAGGTGAGAGATCATGGCTGCCTGGATTGGACGGTACTTACACACTAGAAATATTTAGTGATCAGGATCTGGGGATTGAATGAGAGGGCTGAAGGAGGAAAATCGAAGACTGGGAAATTTTTGGCCTGAACACCATCAAGAGGATGATGTGATGGTCCCTGTATTAAGAGGAGTTTCATGTGTTTGACAGAAAACATTAAGATAGGTTTTCACTAAAATGTTTTACTAGAAGTATCATGTAAAATCAGAAAATAACATTGTTTTTAAAGCTTAAGAAAAAACTACAAATCATGTCATAATTTCAAAGTATATTCCTTGATCAACTACCCTATAGCCTTCCCATAATTTCTCAGTGTCTGAGCTTACTAAAAATTGCCAACATCAATTTAGATGGTCACTTTAAAACAATTTCCTACTGCCATTAGGACAAATACAAACATGATCTACAAAGCTTGGTCCCACACACTTTATCCTTTGGTTAACTTTGCCTTCTTTTTTTTTTTTCTTTTAAGATTTTATTTATTTATTTGACAGACAGTGATCACAAGTAGGCAGAGAAAAAGGTAGAGAGAGAGGGAGAAGCAGGCTCCCTGCTGAGCAAAGAGCCCAATGCAGGGATGCAGGGCTCGATCCCAGAACCCTGAGATCATGACCTGAGCTGAAAGCAGAGGCTTAACCCAATGAGCCACCCAGGTGTCCCAACCTGCCTTCTTTTAGTTCTTGAATATGCTAGACTACCCTTCTGCTTTTGGATCTTTGGACATCTCTTCCTTTGCTAAGAACACCTCCACTCCTAGCTAACATCTACTTGTTTTCTGAATCTCAATTCAGCCATCACGTCCACATGAGTTTAGGTCCCCACTGAATGCTTATAGGAAATTATATTTTCTCTTCAGAGAACTTATGGTTTATAATGTTTACATTATGTCCCACGAGGCAAGGAGCAGATACGCTTTGTTCTATCACTGAAATCCTAAAAACATAGTCTAGATCCTGTCACACTGCAGGCATCCCAACTTCTGTTGAACAATGAATGAATATGGTAGCAAGGCAATCTGAAGGCTGAATTAGACTTAATCCAAGTTCTGTTCTTCCCTGGCAATTTTACTTTAGGCTAGATGGAGAGCACTTTGTCATCTCTAAAACAGAACAAAACATAAACGTAACCACTTTGTGTACAAGAATTACCAATGTAAAAGATGTCTGGCAAGCTGTTTTTAGTAAGTTAAAAGCTACATAGCTGCATTTTGTTGAAAACAGACATACCTTATACTCAGATTAAAGAACTCAAATAATTAAAGCTGTGCAGTTAAACGCAGATCACCTGAAATTTAGTATTTACGACAAGTATATTCTTAACTATTTTAAAGATTTTAGCTCCTCTAAAACAGTTTGATTTTTTTTTAAAGGTAATACTGCATAGGAAAATTTCTGGATTCATGTTTTAAAGTGTTATTATTTTATTTATTTTGTTGAATACACATTTCTTTCACTGGCAGTCCAGATGAACAAGTATATAAAGGAAATATTTAAATTTTGCTTTTGGCAGAGGTCAAGATAAACTGTGCAGATTAAAATGCCTCAATTTAACCCGAAGAAATGGTTTTGAATCATACAAATTTTTAAGAAGAAAAATAAAGACTGTCCAAAGGGATTCTCCTAGCTTATAACACATTTCCAGAATAACTCTCAAAAAAAAAAAAAAATTCAAAAATACTCATTGACTACTTTAAAAATAGGTCAATACCATATGGCTTTATGAAATAACTTCTAAAATTTATATTTTTTTATTTAAAAAGGACCCCAAGTTTTAAATAAACTGCTAGCAATATCATTTTCCTCACTTAAAAGTGCATATCTCTGAGGGTGGGACATACATACTTTTCGACAAATAATGATTTTTACAAATTTTTAACATACACACACAAAAAAAATCACTTAAAATATTTTTAAGGGGGAAAAGAGTTTTCACCAAAAGACATCTTTAAATAGACTGCAGTAGATGACACTGTTCCTTTTTTTTTTTTTTTTTTTTTTTTTTTTTTTTAATACCATCAGAATTCTCAATGAGATGCTTTGGGAGTTTTAAGACATATCACGGTCTCTACCAAGTGACACTGACATTAATGATGTCCGTGGAGATGGCAACTGCCTTGATGGCTCAGTTTGAATAGACACGTTACTGGGCTGACTCTCCAAATCAGAGGCAAAAGTACTCTCTTCTCTTACATCAAGAGTTTGTTCAACTGAAGCTGGCTGGTGTGGAATATTATCCACAGTTTTGTTGGCATTATTCAAGTTGTTATTAAGTGTGGTAATATTACACTCCTTGTCTAGGATGCCAAATTCATCTTCTATTGTAACTACATCTTTAGCTTCAAATGGTTCCAAGGGAGGAGGCAAAAACTCATTTTGTAGACAGTCCTGAGGACCACTATTGTCACATTCTGTATCCTCCTTTACTTCAGAATCCTTATCACTATCACTGTCAATGGTAATTACAACTGGCGAACGTGAAGGATTGTCCCCGTGATGTTTCTTATGCTTCTTCTTGTGCTTCTTCTTTTTCTTTTTATGATGTCTAGTTGAATCAGTAGCTTTCCCTTCATAAACTATCTCTACACTTAGGCTCCGGGTCCTCCTTTTTTTCCTCTTATGTTTTGTCTCTCTGTCTGATGACCGGCTGTCTGAAAAGCTGTCACTCTCATTTTTGTGGCTGCCATCAAATTTTGATGAAGATTTTTGGTAATGACTTTCCTTTACTTTAGAAGCAAATTCACGAGAAGGTTGAGCCACTTCGTTAGTACCCTCCAAATGCCGTGTCTTGTATTTTCGTTTCCCTCCAGGCTTTTCATTTCTTACCCAGTCAGGCCCTGTAGATGCAGTCTTTGATCTATTACTGGATAGGCTCCTTGATCTGTGCCGTTCATAGTAGTAATACTTCCTTTCACTGTGATTATTTTTTTTCCTAGCATTTGTTCTTTCAGAAAAGGACTGAATTCTAAATTCTGGACTTGAGGATTGTCTGGAATAATGAGCTCTGGACAGAGTCCTCCTCCTGTAAGATGATTCATAGCCATCCCTGTCCTTGTTTCTACTATAGTAAGTATACTCCCACTTGTATCTGCTTCCATAATTATTTCTTAAATAATAACGATCTCTATTTCTGCTCCGTGATCTTCTTTTACCATGATCACTGCTACGAGATCTTGATCTGCTTGTGCTCTCACTACTGAGAGAAAGAGTTTGGCTTCTTCTTGACCAACTGCTATCTCTAGTTCTTGATCTCTTTTTGTCTCTTCTACCTCTAGGTCTGCTACTCTCCCTGCTTCTAGATCTTTTGCTTTTCATCCTTTTCTTCCCATGATGCTTTCTACGATTTTTCTGGTCATGCCCACTTCTGCTCTGGGAACGTGAATCTGAACTTCTTGATCTTCCCCTCCTCCTGTGTCTACGGTTATATGGGGAATATACTCTGTCTCCTCTGACAGATGAGCTCAGGTCTCTGGGAGATGACAAGGATGTAGAGTGTTTCTCTTCCTTCTTTGACTTGATTCTTTTACCAGAACCACAATGACCTTTATTTATTTGCTCATCCTTTCCAAGGACAGAGTGTGGAGATGAACATCTACTAACATCACTATCACCAGAACTGTAAGACTGTTCTTGTGTCTTCACAGTCTCCATTTTTTCATAAGACCCTAACTCCTCAGAATCAGAGGATAGTTCGACAAGTTCTGGGGTCCTCTCAGCTAGTGGTTTAACAAACCCAACAATGACACAATTATCTGAAGAAGAATCACTGTCATTATTTAGGTCTTCATTAGTTTGTACTCCTTGTATCTGAGATGTGGCTCTTCCTGTTACAAGTTCTTCATCTGAACTATCAGAAGTATTTAAAAGGGAAGACATGGCAGCATGCACCTGCTCTGAGCTTGAGTAAGATGGTCCTGGAGTTTCATCATCCCACGGTGCCTGACTAACAGTGGTCACATTGATATCCAGCTCTTGAGTCTCAGCTTCATCAGGAGATATTGTTATGACTGAAGAATCAGAATGGCTACCTTCTTCATATGAAGGAGCAGGGCAATCATAATTAGCATGCTGGTCAAAAGCTGCCATGTTAAAAGGAGATCGTGCAAAACTGATAAATTCATGTATAAAATGCTCAGTCCGATTAAGCAGAAAGGGTCTTAAGTCAGACACAAATTCCCGACTTTCCAAGTCATAGCGAGTGACATTACTCATGATGATGTGCTGGACAATATTCACTAAAGATCCATGAGCTCCAAAAAGAACTGTAAGTTCACGTTTTAACCAGGGAACTAATCTGTGAAGGCAAGCTGGATTTCTACGGAAAAATTCAGCTGAAATATCCCTGCAGCGGCCACCATCTTCAATATTTCTAACACGGGCACCAGCACGGTAGAGAGTTCGTCTAAAATTAATAATATCCTGTTCCTGAATTTTCCGCAAAGATCTTTCATCTGCAGTTGGCCTCCTAATTGCAATCTGTCTCATAAGTTGAGGAACTTCACCATTTCTAGGTCTTGTTGAAATGCCTAAACCTTCAAATAGTACTCCACTATCTGGTGGAGTTGTTGTTCTTCTATTCATGGTATTATTAGGTGAATAAACAGAAGCACTTCGATCCCTTGTCATAGTTGTACGATAGCGAAATCTTGGAACATCAGGGGTTGCAAAAGAACCATTATATGAAGGCCTTAGGACATACTCCTTGAAGTCATCTTCTGCCCTCACAGAATGGAAAATAGAATCAAAGGGCTGTTTACACAGTGGACACTCAGCTTTGTTTTTTGACCACTCCTGTACACAGCGAAAACAGAACTTATGTAAACAGCGATCTAAGTAAGACACATTATCAAACCTATCCAAACATATAGGACACTTAGAATCAGGAGATGCATCAGCTGGTACTGTCTGTTGCAATTTGCTAGTACCAGCTTTAGGTGAAAAGTTGTCCATTTTAAATTCCTTAGCAGCTGATGCCATTATCTGTAAAAGGGAAAAAAATACATCAGTAACCGGATAAAAAAAAAGACAAGACTAAATCTGAAAAAAAAAAAAAAAAAATGCAAATAATGACTGTGAAATATACTTTGGTGAAACAGTTGAGTAGCTCATTATCCTTGTAATATGAAGGAGCAGGGTAGCATAGTAATATAGTACTTATAATACAAACCCTAAAGTCAGATACTTCCTGGCTTTGAATCCTGGTTCTACACCAGCAGTGTGACTACGGAGATCAGCAATAATAGAACCTGCATCACAGGATTTATGAAGATAAAAAAAGGGGCCTGGTATACAGTAAGCTCTCAACTATTTTATATCATTCTGTTCTTTTAAAAGAGAATTAAATTGAGAAATATTTAACTGAAATATTAACTGAAAATAACTGAGGACAGAAAATCCACCAACTACCCAAGTATCCACCACTCAGATTTAACAACTTAACATTTTCTCATGGCTATTCCCCACTTTTTAAAATGCCCCTTATCTTCCCTTCTCCTATTCCTCTCTAGAAAACAAAAACCCAGAACCCCACAGTCCTCAGTGGGTGTTATTTCTATGTATGGTTTTAGATCTTTCATACATATGCCCTGAACAATATACACTATCACTACTTATTTGTGGAAAGCATTATATATGCACCTTTAAAAATAACTGTAGCGAGATAATCTGCATACCAAAAAGTTCACCTTTTTAAACCAATTCTGTAGTTTTTAGTGGAAGATTCTTGCACACACACAAAAAATACCTTTTAGTGAAGATTAAATGAAATAATAACTGTAAAAGCATTAAAAGATAGTTCCTGACTTCCAGCAACTACTGTGTACATGTTAGTTGCTGTTATTACTATACTACTGTTACACTACCACATTCCGTTCCTGATTCCTTACAGCATCCCTAAAAAGCCTTGCTTAGCTTAGCCTTTTAATCCAAAGTCAGCCACAAAGTTTCTTGAAATCATGCTTCCAGTGCCCTTACCTCATTTTTTCCCACAGGGATCACTAAAATGTTAACAATTAGTTTTGTCTGCTTTAAATTTATCAGTTTATGTTGACCCATAACTTTCAAAATGAATTTGCCAGAGCTGAAATTTGGTGTGCATCACATTTTTGGCCTTCATACCTTGTAAAATCACTCTTTAGCTGCATTCTATACTAATCATTGAGTATATATTAAATATTTGCTTCTTTCTTTATGTTTTCTGGGCTATTAATCTTTTCCCATCTCCTCTATCACAGGTAGTTTCATCAGTGATCAACTGCTACCAGGTTAGTCAAACAACAGATTTTTAACTTTCTAAACTATGGCCATACCGAACTCTAACAAAAACAAAATCCACAACAAAAATTCATGACTGTGAAATGTAACTATTTCATCATGGTTTTCATATTAAACTTAAGAGCTCATCTAGGGCCTCTTAACTTTCCCAGAGATATAACTTAATCAGAAATCAATTAATGCTGAACTAATGCTTCTTCAGGGATCCAAGTACTTCTAGTTTTCCATTTTCTAGACTAGAAATACGGAAATCACTACTATTCTTGAACAGCATATAATGATAAACTTCTTGCTAATATACTGAACTATATATAATACTAATTGTTAATATACTTAAACCTTAATATTACATAAATTTCTCAGCATTTGCCCCTACTTCTAACACTTTTACTCTTCCTCTGAAGGAAAAAAAAAAAAGCCTAAAAATAAAAATTCTTAGGATCACAGAATATTAGGGGAAGGAATGAAGAGTGGAGAAGGAACTGAATAGGTTATCAGAGAACCTGGACTGAAGACCAGGTTTCCCCTAAAACTAACTCTATAAACTGCAGCCATCTGATGAGATCTAGATTTCAGTTTGCACCTCTATGTAATACTTTTTTAAAAAAACTAGTGAATATAAGTTAATAATTGTATCTTAATTTGTATCTTGGAAATTAGAATTTTAGTGCTTACTGAACACTTGCAGTTCACATAAAAACTGAATGCATTTTATTAAAGGAAATTAGTAGGTAGTAATCTTGAAGTTCAAATAAAATCTCACAAGCAGAATTTAAAAAAAAAAAATGCAATCTTATGGGCACGTGAGTGGCTAAATCAGTTAAGCATCTATCTTCGGCTCAGGTCATAATCCCAGGCTCTTGGGATTTAGCCTCACCTCAGAGTCCCTCTCCCTCTGCCCCTGCTCATGCATGTACTCTCTCTTACTCTCTCAAATAAACAAAATCTTAAAAAAAGAAAAAAAAAAAAAAGGAATATTAGTCTTCCCTTTCCTAGTTTTATAAGTCTGTCAACCACTTTGGCAGCACAGCATAAAGCTAAAGAATGATGAGTAATGTCCATAACAAATAAAAAGAATAAACTAGATTTGTATTGTATTTCTCACAGCAATTATCTGTAGCTATAAAGAACACCATTCATCAGAAACATCAAACAATGACAATGGACATACATAATCAAAGAAAGAGATTTACTCCTTCAAAAGCATCACTAATGCTAAAATTAAAACATCTGCTAATGGAGCATCAGGCGGGCTCAGTCAGTGGAGCACGTGACTCTTGATTTCAGGGTCATGAGTTCAAGCCCCACACTGGGTACAGACATTACTTTAAAAAAAAAATTTCTTCAAATATTTGCTGAGATACAAATGAAGCAGAATTACCATATGACTCAAGGACTCAAAACCTTAATTTAATTTCCAAAAGAAATTAAAACATATGTCCACACAAAAACTTGCCTGGGAATGTTCATAGCTGCATTTGTCCTAACAGTTCAAAAGCAGAAACAATCCTATCAACTGATGGAAAGATAAATAAAATGTGGATACAATGGAATGTAAATGGGAAATAAAAAGGATGAAACACTGATACATGTTACAATAAGGATGAAACTTTTCATTAGGCTAAATGAAAAAAAAAATTAGGGGCGCCTGGGTGGCTCAGTGGGTTAAAGCCTCTAACTTCGGCTCAGGTCATAATCCCAGGTCCTGAGATCAAGCCCCACATCAGACTTTATGCTCAGCAGGGAGCCTGCTTCCTCCTCTCTCTCTGCCTACTTGTGATCTCTGTTAAATTAAAAAAAAAAAAAAAAAAAAAGTCACAAAAGACATGTTGTATGATGCCATTCATATGAAATGTCCAGAACAGGCAAATCTATGGATGGAAATAGACTGGTGGTTGCTGGAGGACGGAGAGGGATTACAAAGTTTATTTCTGGAATGATAAAAATGTTCAATTACAGTTGCACAACTCTTTAAATATACTAAAACCCGCTGGATTATGTACTTTAAACAGGTGAATTTTATGGATGGAATATAAATTATATCTCAACAAACCCGTTTTAAAAATACAAATCAAGGCATAAAATAGGAATGGCTAAGAGTCGGATTAAAATCTGTAGGTTTATAAATTCTGGGTTTGGGTAGTAAAGGTGGACCTGATGGTGGATTTAGTGCTCAGGTTCTAGAAGCCTGCAATAAAGGTTTCTCTATCCTAACACTATAGGAATTGGGACTTCAAGTTAATTTCCCCATAGACATATAAAGATGACATCAATTCTTCTGATCCCATATCCTTAACCATCTCCCAAATTCTAAATAAAGTTTACCATCTTTAGGATACAATAATTAAGTCAAACCTTCCCCAAATTTTCACATCTACTGGCGGTAACAGAGGTAAAAATCCTTCCTGTCACATTTTGGGGGAATTCTAGGTAATTAAGAACCATACTTACCTAGGGAAATGGATGAGAGGGGGTAAAGAATCAAGAGGCTGGACATTACAGACTGGACATTTAAAGATTGTGCTGATTATATACAGGGGAATGACATTAATTCTAATGCAGAGCCAGGGTTGAAAATCAAAACCACTTAATGATGTGATCTGGAGGAAATTATTTAATTTCTCAAAACCTTAAATTTTCTCAATTCTAAAGTGGGTTAAGTACTAGTACCCACGTGAAAAGGTGGTTGTGTGAAGGCATATATTCTATGTAAACCCTTAGCATAGTGATTACCACGCAGTAAAAATTTAATAGTGTTTCCCTGTGTTATGTGAAAATAAAGTTAACATTAGTCCTTTTCATCACTTGCAACTGATTATAAAGACCCAGAAAGATGATAGCCTATAACAAATCATCTTTTCTTAATATAATTACTGTATATAAAATATCCAAGGGGCTAAAAAGGGTTTACAAGCAGATGAACTAGAATAAGCCCCAAGTATTAAAAATATCTGGCTTCTAACTCTTACAACCTTTCTGAAATTACTGTACCTCCCTCAACTGCAATTTAATCACCAGTTCCAAAGGATCATACGGATCTTACAGGATCTATTAACGAGATCCTATAAATGTTGATTCCAATTTCAACCATAAAAAGAACTGCTTGGGAACCATGCTGCGCTAAAGCCACTCATTCCAGCTAAGCCTGATTGTTTTTGACTAACTACAGCTTTGAATTTCATTGACTAAAAGCAAAACAAAACCCAACCTTCACCATTAACTTAAATCTTGGGTAACTCTTAATTTATCTTAAATAATACTGAAAATTACCTACCAAAAATTCTGCTCACTCCTGCCCTTAAAACATTGTTTGCTCCATCTCAGCACTGCCCCCTGCCAGTCTAGGAATCAGCAGCCCACGAGGAAAGCCGCAGTAACTGGATGGATGGAGAAACCACAGGCAAGCGAGCCCAGCCCACAATGTGTAACACAGCAGACAACTCCAAGAGTCACGGTGATAGTGGCTTTCTTGGGTTGAGAATGGCCATCGGCCAAGATCGCAGATAAGGCCCCCGTGCATTACATAATCACAACCAACTAAAACACTGTTACTCCCATTTTACCGGCAGGCAGTTAGATTAGGGCACCTCAACTAACCTCTGGCACACCTCTGAGAGAGGCGATGCCACGAATGAGACGCGAACGTTTTGTTTTCTGGGGTTCCCCCCACCCCAAAGAGACCAAGCTCTTTCCAGTACACCGCTACGCTCGCGCCCCACGGGAAAGGTTCTAGGAAACGCAACTCTACCCCGCCCACCCGCACAAATCCACAGGTGCGCCACCGGACCGCCAGCCCGCCCGCTGGGAGCCCAGCCCCGCATCGCCCCGACCCGCCGAGGCCCGGACGGCCCCTCAGGCCCAGACCGCAGCTCCCAGGTCTTTGGGCCCCGTTCCAGGCCGGGAGCTACAGCTCGCCCAGCCCTTCCGACCCCCGCGCCCCATTGTTCGGGATCTCACTCACCTGGGAGGATACCGACGCAGTCCCGGCTGGGGCGCCCGTGCCAAGCTCCCGGCGGCCCAGAAAGCTGGGTCGGTGACGGCAGGATCCGCGAAGGCGTACCCGGCGACTTCTCCGCCGGCCCTCAGGAGCGGGAGCAGGCGGGGGCGCTTCACCCTCCTCGCGAGACAGCGGAGACCCCGGCGGCTGCTGCGAACCCTGTGACGTAAGGAGCTCATCACCAAAGGCAGCTTGGGGTACGGCAGCAGAAAGCGAGACCCACTCCGCAGCCCCCCGCGCGTCAAAACACAACACCCACGTGCGTAGCGCATGCGCAGTAGAAGGGCGCCGGCTCAGAGGGCGGGGCTTAGAGCGCTCGGCCAAGCACGGGCCCTTCCCCCACCTGTCCCTTCCGTTCCTGGAACAAGAACGACAGGACCTTCCCGGGCACAAATCACTACCATCACCATCATTCTTGTTACCATTAGTTTCTGGGGGGTACAGGCGCAATACTTAATGTTCGCTCCTAACTTAACCGGAAAACACGGTAACTAGCTTGGTCTCATTTAAACCTCACCGAACTCCGCGAGAAGCTACTAAAATTATCTCTAGTGTATAAAGAAACTGAATTACAGAAGGTGAAGTGACCGCCTCCAGTTGCACATCTGGAGCATAACACGGGCATTCGGATGGAATCCAAAGCCAGAGCCCAACCAGTGTCCTATGCAGTCTTCATAAAGAAATCTACTCCAGTCTAGGGATAAACAGGGATTACCTAAGAGAACAGGGCCTTAAAATCTTCCCAAGACAGACGACATTTTTCTCTCAAAGAATACTTTTCCCCTTCCCCATTCCCCTCAATCTGGATTAAAAACTTCTTTAGGTGATATCTGAGATGTACAGAGCCAAAGTCTGAGCCTAAAGTGGCCCACTGCCCCATTCTACCCACAGGCCTCAGATGTGAGCGTCCCAAACATTCTCGAGCTTAACTAGGTATAAACCGCCCGCGTACAAAATGCCTTCTCTGGCTTACTATCTGATACGCGCTACCGTTCTAAGCACATCACAAACGCTCAAAACACACTTGCTGATTGGCAGGTACATTATGCCAAGTAATTCGTGCTACGTTATTTCGTCTTAGAAGTACCATTTACATCCACAAGCCATTGCGTTCTCAAAGATTTTTGATGATGAATATACGAACCTCTCTATTATGTGGAAACAAGTGCGGGAGGAAACGTTAATCCCTCCAGTGTCAGAAGCCCGTGTAATATCTAAAATGAAGATTTTTTTCAAATAAATTTTTAAATGCACACGACGGTACATTATCTTTCATGAATACTGCACTCCAAATGAAAGAAAACCGGATGACAATGCACGCCCATGTAAGTAGCAAAAAAGGCCATTTTTTTTTTTTAAAGATTTTTTTTATTTACTTGTCAGAGAGAGTGAGCACAGGCAGACAGAGTGGCAGGCAGAGGCAGAGGGAGAAGCAGGCTCCCTGCTGAGCAAGGAGCCCCATGTGGGACTCGATCCCAGAACGCTGGGATCATGACCTGAGCCGAAGGCAGTCGCTTAACCAACTGAGCCACCCAGGAGTCCCAAAAAAGGCCATTTTTAACGTGTTTTCTCCTTTATTTCATCCCCTCCCTCCACCACGAACTAAGCCCCCACGTCACGTGAGCCCACCCCAGCTCCGGGCGGAAGAGGCCGGCCCCGCGGATGGGAAACGCGCCCGGAGGCGAGGGGCGGGCCCTTGTGCCCGGCTGAAAGATGGCCGCCGCCGCTCGGCAGCCGCCGCCCCGGAGGTTACTCTAGGGCCTGCAGTTTCCCTCCGTTCCCGCGGGCAGCCGCCGCCTCCTTACCATGAAGCCAGTGAGTCGCCACACCCTGGACTGGATTTATTCAGCGGTAGGTCCCTGGTCTGGCGAGGCTCCACGGGGTCCACTCTGTAGGCCCGCAGGCGGAAGGCCCCCTATTTCTTCAGCGCCCAGAAACTCCAAAATCCATTCCTGTGTTAAGGCTTTCACTCTCTCACCTCGACTCCGCCTCTTCCTGGAAGACACGCTCTTCCGCTTCTTACGTAAGGGCGGCTGGGTGTACTCGCCTCCAGAACCCCATTTTTTCGAGTCTTTAACTGTAATTCCCAGCTTAGCAACGTACACGGCAACCTATTGGGGCAAGGGGAGGGAGGGAAGTATCGTTTACAGTATATATATATATTTTTTTGCTTGTATTCCCCTTCTTGCATTTTTTTAGTTGCTCCTCGCCATCGTATTGCTCTCCTGGGGATATGTCATCTATGCATCAACAGTAGCCGCACGACGACAGCTCAGCAAGGAATACCCAGACAAAATCTCGGGGATGAATGAAAATTTGTAATTCCTCTGGATTTAATTTTGTGCACACAGTTCTTTACCTGATGTTTGTCTGGCATGTGTCTCGATTTAAAGTAAAATTCATTATGCAAAGTTTCCAAATTTATTTTTTGCATAGTCCTTTATAGTAACCACTGATCTGCTAATTTTCGCAGAGGTTTGTCTTCCACATTCTTATATAAAACAAATCAAGCTAGATCTGACTGCATGTGAGTACTGAATCATAGATGGAATGACATGCTTTTCAACCTAGAGTTCCTAAATAACCTCTTAAAATGCCTCAGTCTTCTCTAAAACAGTGTGTGGAATTGCTGTTCTTTTATAATTCTTTATTGCAACATTTCATTCTGTTACATACCTTAACATAAGATCAGATTAAGTACTGCATAAGAAAAAAAAAATCTATCATGTGACTACTTTTCTATCCTGTTTTTCAAGTTGAGAATGGCCAAGAAAAGGTGATCACTCATCTTTTAAAGCTTATCCAATTTTTACTTACTGTTAAATAATTCAAAGAGTTGCAAATTGATCGATATTTGTGAAGAAACAAACAACACGTATCTCAGAGTAAACTTTATTAAAGTTACTTTTCCAGAAAATATATTCAGTAAATACACTAATACAGCAACAAACTTGGCTTTATATGCCTTTGAAATTTTAAAGTAATCTTCAATGATGTTGATCAGGAAATTCTTTCATTGGTGGAATTACTTCTCCAGTCTCCAGAATTGTATCACCCTAAAAAAACAAAGATGCATTAGTAGAAAAATCTTTGTCTGCAGAGATGATAGTTCCACTTGATCAGATCTCACATGGAAAATCTAGTTCAATTCTGGCATTGACATTTTGAAAGGGACTTAGACAAAGTAGAAGCTGTCTAAAGATGAGCAATATTCAGAATCTTAAGGTTTACATGAAGGAAGTATAAGGGGGAAGTTTCATTCAAACAAAATGTTCAGAAAGGGCATGAAAATGGTCTTCATAAAGTGATAAAGAGATAATGTTTATTTTGCATGGCCCCAAAAAATAGGAAAAGCCCTAAAAAGAAGTTACAGGGAGACATCTTCAGTCCAATATAAGGAGGTAATGTATTCCTAGCAACTGAAAAATGTGTTAGGCAATCATGTTTACCACTTGGCTCAGATGTGAGAGACAGAATACAAACTTTGGGTAGCTGATTCAGGTTATCTTTTCAAACGTAGATACAGTGTGTGTTGTAGAAAGGGCATGGACTAAAAAAAAAAAAAAAAAAAAGAAAGGGCATGGACTTTGGAGCCAGAAATAAGAGGGGAGAATCCTAGAACCTTCACTAAGAAGCTGTATTATTTTAGGCAAATTACTTAGCTTTAGTTTCAGCTTTGTGTTTAAGAGAGCAGATTTTGTAAGCCTAACAGTCCATGAATGACTGGGTAGAGCAGAATTATCCCCATCCCCACACTTGCCATTCCTGACCCTGGTAGTGTTCAGGAGTTATCTGATGAAGAAATAAATTTTTATTATGTTTAAGCCATTATACATTTGGGGGGTAATTTATTACTCAGTTTGCATTACCCTAACAGAGCAATTAGTACTCTAAAGTGGTACTAATACTGCTGTAATAAAAATTGAACCAATGGCACTGGCTTAACAGTGGAGACAAGGACACTGGCACTGGAGGCTAAAAGATGGGGCAGCTATGTCTTGGAAGCAGAGTGTCTAATGCATTGAGGTTCTAGGAGAAGTAGCTGAAAAAAAGTTACAGTTATCTGTTTGACTACTACTAGCTGCCTTGGGAATGTACTTTAAGAAAAATAAGTTCAGGCAGAAGATGCTGATTTAAAAGGAGAAATAAAAATGGAAAGAATAAAAGAAATTCAGGACCTTGCAATATTGAAAATCAGGTTGCTTCTGGTTCTCTAAATACTGAGTTAACAATGAAGAGATCCTTAGATACAGAAGCCCAATAAAACTAAAACAGAGGGACTCTGTCCCATGGCAAAGATCAGACTGATGTTGAACCAGTTTTTCAAATGTCTTCCATGTAGTTACAGAGGCAGTTGAGCACAAAGAAATGCGAGAACATGGTAACTACACAAAACAGATGCATATGGGACTGACTAGAAGCAAATAGACTCCCATCAAGTATTTTTCTTTCCATAACTACCAACTGTTGTGGAAACTAGGTGGTCAAAGAAACCAAACATATAGGCAACAAAAGCCTGTGAATGTTTGAGCTTAAAACAAGCTCTGGCACTCAACATATGAGGAGGAGGCAAATTTTAAAGGCTATACAACCCTAAAAAGGGCATGCTTCCTAGTACCCATTTTAAACATGGTCTAGGTTGAAAATGGAAAAGAAAAAAAAAAAAAAAAAATCCCATGACGGACCCAGGGGCCAGGAAGAACAAGGAACAAAGGCATTCCAGAAAACAAAATCAGTGCCCATTCAAATAACATACTGCACGCGGGGGTTAGGAATCTTTATATTTGACCACTGGGATTTAAGAATTGCCAAGAACTAATAACTGAATTCCACCACTGAGCAACAGGTGTGTTTGGGGGTGGTGTGCGGGAGACAAGGCATATAGTTAACTGGCCTTAGTTCACTGATGCTTAGATCCCACGGGAAGTCACATCTAAACCTGTACAAACTGTACAATATCTGGAGGTCCTACATTTGGGGCTGGTTGCAGTGAAGGTATGGGACTCTGGAATTTCTCCCTAGGGAAGGAACGATGTTATATGTGTGGGGAGAAGAAAGCAAAGAGCTATTTGGTAATTAGAAGGATGGACTGTGGCACAGACTCCAGGCATGGTAGACTGGGAAATATAATAAAGCATATAGATATGTGGGACAATGACAATGAGTTCTGGCCAACAGGATCTGAAGAGAAGTGATGTAAGCTAGTTCCAAGCTTAGACCTTAAAATCCTTCTGAGATGTCCATCCCTCTCTTTCCCTTAACATGATCTTTAGAAGCCTCATATTCCAGATGGTGTAACTATAAGACTGTGGAAAACACATGATGCATATCAGTCTATGATGTCAATTAAGAAACCTTTGTTTTGTTAAGCCGCTAAGGTCTGGGGTTTGTTACTGTCTATCCTATTCTAGTAAGTATACAAATGAGCATTCTTCAGGTCCACACAGGGGAAGTTTCTTAAAGGGTCAATGGCACAGAAACAGAACCACAGTGGCAAAAAACAAAACAAAAACCAACAAACAAAAAAAAAAACAGAACTAGGCAAAATGCCATAGAATCACTGTGGTCTTCTAAAGAGCCTCACCCTTCTTTCCCTTTGAACAGCAATGGCAAAAAAAAAAAAAAAAAAAAGTGATAAATATGTCAATGGAAGATTAAATAAATTACCCAACTAGTGAAACCAGTTAAGATAATTTCTTATTTTGGGACTACCCAAACCCTGACACATACACACAGTTATTATACACAACAAAATACAGAAGAAATACCCTGTTTCTTAAAGCTAAGTTTCAACCAAAGGGTTAGTTAATTTTGGTGGTTCACCCTTAAGTTCCCTTCTGTTGCAGACAATTATGGATTACTGTGACGATGTCATTTGATTGACGCAAGAACCAACAGAGTTCTGTTTTTTAAAATTATAGAACTTAGAGACTGATGGTAGTTCATTATCTAAGACTAGAAATAGAACAAGAACATAATCTGCATTTTGCTATGCTTAAATAATAACCTCGCAAAACCAGTAAAAATACCAACTGATAACTAAGTAATCTTTTAATACTTTAAAGACCCAATTTTAAATTAGGATAATAGCTTACGTAGTCACATCACAAAAATTAAAGTACATATTAACAGATTTTGAATTCACAGATGGACTGGTTAAGGTCAAACTGCCATAAGAAATGACAGTTTGGAATTAATAACAGAGGAATTCAGTCGCTGTTTTTATGCTCAAGTGTCTGCTCAGGCTAGTGCCCTAAGTCCTTAACCCTACATGAGAACAGGGGAACCAGTGAAAAACTGTTGGTATCTTCAATTCACTTCAGGACTACAAAGGTCATCAAGTTTTACAGCCGGCTTCAAAAGAAATATGCTCACCTCCCATTTTCAACTATAGCTGCTGCCTCACAATATTTCCTTTTTTTTTTTAAAGAATATACAAATCAGGTACTTAAAATGACAATGAGAAGAAAGGAGCACTTTAGTGATCACTTAGGGACATAAAGGAGAGAGAAAACTAATAAAAGAAAAATCAGACATATTAAGACTTACTGGGAATATCCTGGGCTTCCTTTCAACAATGCCATATGGTTTTGTCTGCAATAAAAGTAATGCTCTATTAATTATGGTTTGAGAGTTTCTTCTAAAATAAAATACATCATATCCCAAGTTTTTAACTTAAGCTCCAAACTTTCACCAAATTCAACTCATACATTTAACTGTTCACTCAAGATCTTTACTTGGCTCTCTCTACTACTCATCTCAAACTTAACCAGGTCCAACTTATAACATCCCCTCAGCCCCAAATGGTTCCCTACTGTAGCAAATGGCACTTTTTTCTCCTAGTTAACAAAGGCCGAAAACCTTGATTCCTCAGCAGATCCCTTTGGTTCTGTCTTAAGATTATATCATGAATCCGACTTTCTCACAACCTAGTACTACTACCCTTGTTCAAGCCTCTGGCATTTTTGTTTTACCTGTATTAGTGTCCGCCATCCACCCATGCCTTCTTACTCTATTATCCACAACAGCAGAGGTGACTTTTTTTTTTTTTTTTTTAAGATTTTATTTATTTGAGAGAAAGAGAGAACAAGCACGAGAGGGGGAAGGTCAGAGTGAGGAGCAGACACCGTCCCCCCACCCCCACCCCACCCCACCGCTGAGCAGGGAGCTGGATGCGGGACTCCATCCCCAGACTCCAGGACCATGTCCTGAGCTGAAGGCACTCGCTCAACCAACTGAGCCACCCCAGCTGGACCACTCCTCTGCTCAAAGTTTCATAACTCGTAAAGCAAAGGCCAAAGTCCTTGCTGTGATCTCTAAAACCCTATACAATTCGGCCCTTGGCCACCGCTCTGATCTCTCTCTTTCTCTCTCTGTATTGTACCCACAGTGTTCCTTTACTATTAGTCTAATCAGTTGGGCCT